CTTATACTCCCTCTTATATGCTCATTTCTTATCCTATCTTCTCTAGTCACTCCACTCATCCATCTAAGCATTCTCATTTCTTCTACACTCATTGTCTTCTCTACTTTCTTATCAACCAACCAACACTCTGAACCATACATCATACCTGGTCTCACTACAGTCTTGTAGAATTTAACATTCAGCCTCATTGGAATTCTTTTATCGCATAAGACATCAGACGCTTCTCTCCATTTCAACCACCCCAACTTAATCCTGTGTCTTACATCCTCGTCAATACCACCGCTCATTTGTAAAACTGATCTTAAATACTTAAAACTTTCCACCTCTCCAATCACGTCCTCACCTATTGTCACTGGTCTCCTTATTTCACCTACCTTGTATTTTCCTTTATCAAACTCGTAATCTATATACTTTGTCTTACTCCTACTTATTATTAAAAACTTCTCTTCAAGAGCTGATCTCCACATCTCTAACCTTTGATTAATTTTGTCCAATGTACACTATATCGTCAGCAAACAACATGCACCATGGCACCTCTCCTTGTATTTCTCTAGTAATTTCATCCATCACTACAGAAAATAAGTAAGGGCTTAAAACAAAACTGCTCCCACACTTTTTACCCTAGTACAAGTGCCATCATATCCTCTATTATATTAATGTACCTTTTCGGGACTCCTATTCTCCTATTANTTAATGCCCAATTTAGAACCTTTCTCGGTACTCTATCATACGCTATCTCCAAATCTATAAATACCATAAAAAGCTTTTTCTTTTTTTTCCTAAACTTTTCTATTNAGTAATAACTAATACAGTCATTGTGTATACACATATGTTCGTTGTGTTCGCTCTCTTATCTCGTTCTGATAGTTTGTAATCGATTTCCGATCTTTTANAATGCCCAATTTAGAACCTCTCTCGGTACTCTATCATACGCTATCTCCAAATCTATAAATACCATAAAAAGCTTTTTCTTTTTTTTCCTAAACTTTTCTATTAGATGCCTCACACAAAATAATGGCTTCATTGTTGACTTACCAGGCATAAATCCAAACTGGTTTTTAGATACCGATGTCTCATTTCTTATTCTTAAATCTATTACCATTTCCCAAATTTTTATACCATGACTCATAAGTTTTATGCCTCTATAATTTTCTCACTCCTGTATGTCACCTTTACCTTTAAATATCGGCACCACTATACTATTCCTCCATTCATTTGGAATTTTCCAAATGAAATTGGAAGATTTTATTTAAAAGTTCCTTCAACCACCTTATACCCACACTGCCTAATATTTGCCATACTTCTACTGGCACTTCATCTGGCTCCACTGCATTATTCTTTTTCATTGACGCCACAGCCTCTCAAAACTCTTTCTCACTAATGAAATCTACTAGTCCCTCATTTCACGAAATATCCTCTAACGTCTCTTTTCGATACTCTTTTCCACCTTTTTTTCACATTATCATCACTCGAGGTACCCTATTATCAGCATTTTTTATACACCTTAAATAATAATAATCTTTAGTCCTTTTCTCTCTTATTTTTGCAAGTCTATAGATTTCTTTCTTGCCTTCCTTTGTTCCTAACCTATCATACAACTCATCATACCCCTATAACTTTGCCTTATTTACTGCACACTAGGTTTCTTTGAACAAGCGTTTATACTCCATCCAATCATCTCTCATTTTGCTCTTCTGCCATATTTTAAATTGCTTTTTCTTACTTTCTATGATTTTTTGAACGTCCTCATCCCACCATCAGGTTTACTTGTTTCCTGTCATTCTACTCCTACTCTCAATAACAATCTCCTTTGTAATATTCTTAACACAACTAACAAATCTTTTCTACGCCTCATTTATGTCTCCTTCAACATTCCACACTGTCCTCTCTGTTACCGTCTTGACAAACTCTTTTTCATTTTCCCTTTTCAGTTTCCACCACCGGATCTTCGATTTTTCTCCCGTGTTCCTTCTTTATTTGTATATTCTTTTCCCGGTACACCAAAAATCCATTACCATCAGTCTATGCCATGCAGTTATACTCTTGCCTGGTATAACTTTACATTCCTTTACTCTTCCACATAAAATAATCAATCTGTGATCTATTCCACCCACTCTTACAAGTTATAAAATGTTCTTCCCTTTCTCTAAAATAATTATTAACCACAGCAAAATCATATAATATTGCGAAGTCCAGGATTCTTTCTCAAGCCTCACTCTTCTCACTTAAACTATGCCCTCCATGTACTCTTTCATATCCTCTCCTCTCATTACTTACATGTCCATTCATATCTCCACCTATCACCGCATCCTCATATCCAGGTATCCCTTGCATCACCTCATCCATCTCTCTCCAAAATACATCCTTTTCTATTTCATTACATCCCACATGTAGTACATAGGCTCTTATTTTATTCAGCACTTTCTCCTCAAATATAAATTTCACAAACATAATCCTGACACTTTTCCTAGCATAAGTATGAGTACTCTCATAAAATTTGGTTCTAAACCTTATATATTTTTAGTGGAATTATTAGTTTCCTACCTTGATATTTCCAATAATACTCTGAAATAAATAGAGGTTGTTTTTTTATGCATTATAATGTAGACACAGTGGATCACTTCTTGTATATACTACGATAGAAAAACAGAGTGTAAATTGATTGATCGAAATTGAACATAATGAGAACCTCTAGCAATAACTGACTGCATCTGAGCGCTACTGACCGAGTTAAAGATTCTAACCACCATCAAAATGACATCCGAGCCAGAATGCTACAATTATTTCTTAATTAATTGTTGTTTATTATATTTTCGTCAGTAATGACTTGAAATAATAATTTTTTTTAAATTAATTTTTTCATGCGATTTTCATGGGTGATAGAAAAAATCTAAATTCAGACTTGAAATTAGCATAAAAATTTGGTTCAGTAAAGTATATATATATTTAATTTATAGTTAGTAACATAAGCTTTAATTTAAAATGTTTTAAAAACGCAGAATATCAAAATTATTTTCAGAGTTAAGTTAAAAAAGTCGACTTTTGTAAAAAAAAGTTGCTATTTTAATTCCCCTCCTGTAAGCAAGTTAATTGTCAAATTATCATAAAATTTATATCAAATGAAAGGGAAATATCTGAGGTTACAATATAGAAAAACAATTATTTTAATTTGTTTATTTTTCAATAACTTATGTCAATTTTTAGAAAAAAAACTGAAAAAACCCAGCACAGGGGGGTCGCGGCACAGTGGTGACGTGGCATAGTTGGATCAAATATAGTGATATCTGATAGTGATTAAAATCACTATCAAAAATAAACGCTTCGATGCAAATCTTTAGATAGTGTTTAATTTTAAAAAAATTGGTGTTTTATTCCAAAAGCTACTTGATCTGCTGGTTCCTTATTAATATCTCGATTAANTTTATTCCAAAAGCTACTTGATCTACTGGTTCCTTATTAATATCCTGATTAAAATAAAGATATATGTAAGGGATTATTAAAAAATATTATTTCTCATAAAAAAATTATGTTGATCCATACACTTTTCAATGAGTTATATCATTATAAAGTTAAAAATGTAAAAAATAAAATCCAGAATTTTCACACAATAGCATTCGGTAGCTATTTTCGCCGTGAAGACAAGTCCAGAGGTCAAATTTTTTTTTTTTAAATTAAAGTACATTACATTAGCTTTAATTTAAGATATATATAATAGTGTCAGTATTTCCGGAACGCTTTCCAAAATTAAGTTGAGAAAGTTCTACTTTCTATATGCATTGGTAAGTTTTGAATCCCCTTGTATTAAGAAAAATGGTCCGATTTAAAAAAAAAGTATATTCAATGAAAGATGTATATAAATACTACTTCTCATGAAAAAATTGTATTGATCCATACATTTTTTAAAAAGTTATAGCACTTTAAAGTAAAAAATGTAAATTATAAAATCGAAAATTTTCACACAAAAATAGCATTCGGTAGCCGTTTTCACCATGAAGACAAGTCCAGAGGTCAAATTTTTTTTTTGCATAATAAAGTACATTACATTAGCTTTAACTTAAGATATATATAAAAGTGTCAGACCTTCCGGAACATTTTCAAAAGTTAAGTTGAAAAAGTTAATTTTTTGTGAAAAAGTTGTCATTTTAAATTGCCTACTGTGGGCAGAAAAAAGGTCAAATTTACAAAAAAAATATACCAAATGATAGGTAAAGACATCAAGTATCTATATAAAAAAATTATATTGATATGTTCATTTTTGAAAAAATTATGATAGTTTTTAGTAAAAAAAATTGAAAAATTTTCGAAAATTAGCGATTTTTAAATTTGTAATTTTTTTGGAGGTTTCCCCCATTTACGGGGAACGAGGGAAATTTTTTCAATTTTGAAGGGTAATGTCTTCGACTAGATACNTTAGCAATTGAAAATAAATATTCAGAAAAAATATGTCAAATTGAAAATGATACGATGAGATATGCTGCTGCGACTGGTGTCTTAGAAACATTAAAAATAGCTTACGAGAGTGGATGTGATTGGGATCAACATACAATTACTGAAGCTGCTGCAAATGGACATTTAGAATGCATAAAATATGCACACGAAAAAGGTTGTCCATGGGATGAAAGAACAACAGAAGCAGCTGCAAAATATGGTAATTTAGAAAACTTAAAATATATTAGACAAAATGGATGTAAATGGGATGAAAACACAACGAGAGCTGCTGCTGCAAATGGGCATTTAGAATGTTTAAAATATGCACATGAAAATGGATGTCCATGGAATGATAGAACAACAATAGCGGGTGCCTCTACTGGAGGCTTAGAAATTTTAAAATATGCTTATGAAAATGGATGCAAATGGAACAAAGGTGTGACTGCAATAGCAGCAGCATATGGAAATCTGGAATGTTTAGTATATGCTCATGAAAATAAATGTAAATGGGCAAAATATTTAACATGGAATGCTGCTGCGAGCGGTAATTTAGACTGTTTAAAGTATGCATATGAAAATGGAAGCAAATGGGATGATACAATACCTGCAGAAGTTGTTTCTATCAGTAATTTAGAAATTTTAAAATATTCTTATGAAATTGTAGGCCAATGGTATAAAGACACAACTAGAGTAGCTGCTTTAAAAGGTCACATAGAAATTTTAAAATATTCCTACGAAAATGGATTCGATTGGTCTGAGGGTACAACTAAAGCTGCTGCACAAAGTGGCTGTTTTGAATGCTTAAAGTATGCACATGAAAATGGATGTAATTGGGATAATGATACAATAAATGTTGCTGCTGAGTATGGACATTTAGATTGTTTAAAATATGCTTTTGAAAATGGAAGTAAATGGGATGAAATTACTACAAAACTTGCTGCTAGGAATGGACATTTAGATTGTTTAAAATACGCTCACGAAAATGGTTGTCTATGGGATGAAAGCACAACACAAGAAGCTGCCTATTTTGGTAAATTAGAATGCTTAAAATATGCTCACGAAAAGGGCTGTAAATGGAATGATGAAACAACAAGAGTTGCTGCTTTAATGGGTCATCTGGATTGTTTAAAATATGCACATGAACATGGATGCGAATGGAATTCTGCCACATGTAGAGCTGCAATTGAAGGTGGCATGGTCCATTGTTTAAAATATTGCCACGAACATGGATGTGGATGCGATAAAGATATAACTCTAGTTGCGGCTGCGTTTGGGCAATTAGATTGTTTAAAATATACACATGAAAATGGGTATCATTTGGATGAAAGGATAACAGAAGTAGCTTTATTTAATTATAACTATGATTGCTTAGAATATGCTCTTGAAAATGGATGTAATTGGGATGAAGGTACGATAGTTAGAGCTGCTATGATTGGTTATTTAGATTGCTTAAAATATGCTTATGAACATGGATATCATTGGGTTGAAGGTACGATAAGAGGAGCTGCTGCAAATGGACATTTAGACTGCCTAAAATTTGCAAAAGAAAATGGTTGTGAATGGGACAAAGGCACAACAAGAGAAGCTGCTGCTAGTGGTTGTATTGACTGTTTGATGTTTGCATATGAAAATGGATATAAATGGGATGAAGGGACAATGAGTGCAGCTGCTGCAAATGGCCATTTAGACTGTCTGAAATATCTTCATAAAATAGGATGTGAGTGGGACGAAGCCACAACAAGACTTGCTGCTGCAAATAATGAATTTTATTGTTTAAAATACGTCCATGAAAATAAATGTCCATGGAGTAAAAATACCATTTATGTAGCAACTTTAAATCATAATTATGATATAATGAACTATGCTAACGAAAATGGTTGCCCTAATTAGTATTCTATTATTATCATTTTTTATAGTTCTATAATTTGTTATATACTTTATTTTAAAATAAATTGTCTTAATATATGATGCTATGTATTTAATAACTACAATTTTGACATTTAACTTCTTTATGAAATATTTTCTTTTAAACATAAATAGTTTTTCTATGCGATCGTCTGCTAAGTCATTACAAAATACTTGCGAAAAAATCTGAGTCCTTTGCGCAATGGCGAGCTTTTGGCCCTACCTCACACGGGTTACGAGTTAACTTGGTGCTGTAGGATTATGAAGCTGAGTGTCTCTCGGCTATCGTTTGTCCCCGTGAAAGTATGAGCGTAGTAAATCTGGGCGACCTGTATACAGTGTGGTTAATATTTCACGTAACGTAAGAGATAGGTGCGTTACAACATAGTTTATGCGATATGGTTTTATAGATATGTATGATTTCGCGCATGTCTGAAGTAGAGATAGCTTGTCCCACAATCAGAGGAGTTCCTTTAAAATGATTGTAAGTGGTGAAACTAACCATAATACCATACGAACAGGCAACGTGTGTAGTATAATAATTAACACATGTACTAAATATCACATATATATGAATAAAGCAATAAATCATCTAAGGAATGTTTCCCTTTTAGGGTAATAAAAATGACTATTTATCAACACATGTTTCAAACCAGTCCCCTACAATTCATTAACTACGCCCACGGCAGGGTATCTATCACAATTAACCAATCACAAATAATTATCCAACATCTTAGGAATTTCAATAGAGATCGCTGGCTTACTTCATTCGGCGTATAAAAAGCCATTTTTTCTCGTAAAAAAGGGACTTCTTTTGACGATTCCGACGACTTCTTTGACAATTTTCTGGTGCTGCGACTACGACGATTACCCTCTAAATATTCTCTTACATGGAATCTGCGTCAGTATAAGTAAATATTTTGTCCCTGTGACTTAGTTTTCTTTATATGTATCATCCTAAGTGGTGAACATTGTCTTAGATGATTTATTAATATTTTACACAGGAACAAATTTTTATTTATTTTTATTATCACCTAATGTTCTCACGACAAATAGACATTATCTCTATTTTTATATAAAGGTTTTAAATATTATTATTCCCTTCATTTCTGGACAGCCTCAAATGTGCCGAAAAGAGTGAAGAAGCGTAATTTTATTTATACAGGCATAATAGCCTTATACATTATCGTATATTCATAATAAAGCTTATTGTGCCCTACATTTATGAACAGCCTTAAATGTGCCGAACTAAATGAAGAAGCATAATTTGTGATTAGAATTTTTTAGTATTAGTAGTAGTACTTTATGTCTGTGTACCCGGCAGCCCTAAGGGACTATCCAATTACCTATCGGTAACGTGTAGGCAGTTGAGGTACAGAGTAGTACTAAACTTATAAAAAGAGTATTTTTGAAGTGCGCTATATCCGTCGACAAGCCAGTTCTAGAGCTAGTAGTCCGGGTAAAGTTCATCATAAAATATATAGTCCGTAAGATAGGAAACTACACCTTGGAAATATTCTCTGCGCGTGTACCCGCCAGCCATAAAGGACTATACCAATTACCTTTCGGTAACGTGTAGGCAGTTGACGTAAAGGATAGTAAAAGGTGTATTGAAATAATATTTAAAATATATTAACGAAAATAAAATAATATATTAAAATATATTGTCCGCGCCAGCCAAGGCTTTACGCTGAGAAACGCTGGGCCACCACAGTCTTGTTAATTATATTTTGAATATAGATAGACATATTCTTATAATTATATTTTGACTAGTTCAGAGTAAATTTTAAGAATATCGATATCGACTGTAGGGAATTCATCGAAAATATTATTAGTAAAAACATAGTATAATATAAAAGGAATTTAAAGAAAATAAAAAAAAGATGACAAATTATAATAGACGCAGGTCCCATTATAGAGAANGACAAATTATAATATACGCAGGTCCCATTATAGAGAACCCCTTTTTCTAAGTCTTATATACACAGAGATACTAATTAATCGAAATAAATGTAAGACAGTATAAACGACTGTTAACACTGAAGGAAGAAATCACCATAAAACCAACTCAGTCAATTACTAAAGGAAATAAAGGTAAGTGCGAATATTTATTTGCATGTCTTACTTCTAAAAAAATCACGTAATAAACAAAAATAGGAATAAATNATCACGTAATAAACAAAGGAATAAATGAGGTAGGGATATTTTATTATTTAATAAATAAATAAAGTTCGACCCCGAGATACCACTTCATCTTTACCTTCCTTATTTTTTCACCCCACTATCTTTCATTCTTTCTTTTTTTTTTTGTTTATTACAAATGGCGCTCAACTAACAGCTCTCACCCACGCAGAAATTTGTAAAATTAATATTTCTCCACTTATAAAAAAAAATTCTTATAAAATAAAAAAAAAATAAAAATGTATTACGCATCTATCATTTACAAATTGTCAATCACTAATTAAAATATAATAACTTGTATTAATGAACAATCCGACTAGAAAAGAATTCATAACTGTCGTCAAATTTATATACAAAGAATTAATTAATAATTATCGTAATAACACTATTCGGTGTAAATATCATTTACTTACTATAATTACTGATATTCTTTGGGAAGTCACCTTACATTTAAACATCGATATTCAAAAAACACAATTAATACAAAAATTTCTTTTCATATTTATTAATACCAATAATTCTTTTCCTATTACGGAAACTACACTACTACTAAAAGTATCTCTAGTATTAAATTACTTATATGAAAACAATATAAATACTATACTTGCCATCGTCCCTAATTTTGAACGTCTTGAACAAAACATAATTTTACACACACAAGTTTAATATTAATATATTTATTTCATTAAAATTAACTTAAACATTAAAAAATTCTATTCTGATAAATACCTACATCACACATGAATTATCCTACTAAAACTGAATTTATAAACATTACTAAAGAATTGCTTAATAATATAATAATTAATTTTTCTAACAAAAAAATTACCAACAAATATAATTTATATAATATAATCATAGACTCGCTCTGGGAAACCTCTCTCCGCATGAGAATTGATTTTAATAAATTTATTATTATTCAGAAATTCATTAGTACTTACACAGAATCTAATTACTATCCAATAGCTGAATCAGCAATCATTCTTAAAATAACAATCGCGTTAAAATTTATTTACGAACATACGAATGAACAAATTTATGACAAAATTCCAAACTTATATCCTCAAGATAACATACAATTATCAAATTCTACAATTAATTAAATCAGCATACTTAAATAATCATTTATGTGTCCAACAACTATTGACATATCTAGAGCAACTATTAGATATATGATCAAAATATTATTAAAAGAATATCCCAAAGAATTTAAAATAGAACATAGAACCTTTTTAAACCAAATACTAGCTGAGTTAGTGTGGAAAGCCACTGTAGAAGCTTCTCAATATTCACCTAACAAAGTATACGGTTTATTAGTATTTTTCGAATCAAAATTAGTAAGAGGTATTCTATACCCAGAAACTGTTACAGAATTAGCATTAGAACTAGTGCGAATTCTAGAACAAACTTATCTTTAAATTTCTTTTAAATGAATTTAAACTCCGNTATTATAGAATTAGCATTAGAACTAGTGCGAATTCTTGAACAAACTTATCTTTAAATTTCTTTTAAATGAATTTAAACTCCGCTACTACAATACCCAACATTTCACAAATTAGGGATTTAATTAAAGAAGTAATAAAAATATTTATAACAGAAGTAGAATATACTATTCAATTAAATTCCGTAAACGACTATAAGTCAATTATAAAAGTCAATAGTAACAAAGCTTTTAAAAATATTTATTTTAAGGATAAAAATTTAATTCAACATACAACTAATCACATTCTCAATAAGACCATTAGAGGNTTCAACATACAACCAATCGCATTCTCAATAAGACCATTAGAGGGTATTTATTTCCACAAACAGAAATCAAAATAATAATAGAACTAATACAAATTTTAGAACTAACATACACTGAACCCTTTCATATATTATCAAACTCTCATTCTTAATATCACTGATGGAAATATATTTTAGTGACGAATCAAGTAGTAATTCTAATAACGAATCGAATAACAATTCAAGTAACGAGTCAATTGCTACTATAA